AATCAGAGCTTTCAGTTTAATCGTTACTTTTTTTAGTTGAAAACTGTTCGCAAGTGGTGTTAAAGTTTTTTCTTCGAGAGCTACGTAGCAAAGCTACAAGCTAACTACAGCCGGCTTGCCGTAGTGTTGCCGTATTCTGACGCATGCGCAAAACGCTGTGTTACGTCGAAAGTTTGGGGGGTTTTTTTCCGTTGAAAGTTAAAGTAAGTGTTTGTCAGCTTTAGAGAAACCTGCTCTCTGATCTGTGAAAAGAACGCCGTGTTGTGTGATTTTACTGCGAGACCCTCTGGTCAAAGCCACAGACTCATTTTGGGTCAGCTTCATTAAAGCGGAAGGAGGCGCCAACTAGAGGTTGGGAGGGTGAAGTGTTTCAGTGTAAAATGCTGCTCTGTTGCTGTTCATTTATTAAGTGAAGACTGGAAACTGTTAAGAGTTAACAACATATTATTTTGTTTAAACCATATGGCTAAAACTACACTTGATATATTTGGCACTGCTTTGCACTACAAGAAAGAACCCTAATACTTGATTTGTTTATTATTTTAAAACTCTCTGGACCTAGTAGTGGAATTTTCTTAGTTTAAAATATATGATGGCAAAAGGACACACTATGCTTTTTTGTTCCTATTGCAAGTTTTATACCAAAAACCTATTGCGATATGTATTGTTACCGACACCCTTCACAATACATATCGTGATATGAATTTTATGCCATATCGCACATTCCTACTCCGTTGTGCAGTTAGAATTGTCATATAGAAAAATAAAGATATGAACAACAGTTAGTAAATAGATAAACTTTGTTTTCTATAAAAAAAATGCACTGTGAATGAAAAATGACTGCTGGTATGTGCTGAAGAGGAAAACGGACTGTACTTATAAAGACCCTTTCTATCAAGATACTCAAAGCTCTTTACAACGCAATCATTTACCTTCAACACACACATTCATACAACACTCTACTACATCTCTACAACGCTCATCTGAATCTGCAGAAACTAATCAAAGCTTTAGATCTCATCTATACATCAATGGGACACACATCAGAGGCAACGAGGGGTTCAGTGTCAGTGTCACCAGGGGACACTTCATACCATACCATACCAATTTATTTATAAAGCACTTTAAACAGTGACAAAGCACACCAAAGTGCTGTACAGGGACAAACAGAACAAGCACATAGCAACAGATTACATAACAGGACACCAAAAAGTAGAAACCAACAAAAACAATAATGGATAACAACAACAACCGCAACATGATTAACACAGTGTGATGCACACACTTCAACATGTGACTGCTGGTGGAATCGAACCCCCGACTCTCCCAGTGGAGGACAACTGCTCTAACCACTCAGCCACAGCTGCCCCTAGATGTACAAAGAGCCCATCAGCCAGTTACTGAGGTTTGAGATGGGGTGACCACAAATGACCAAAAGCTAAAACCAGGCATCAGTTTGAGGCCCCTCTAAAACAGACACTGAAAAAAATTAAGGAATATTCTCCACAAATGTTATTCCAACTTGTAAATACGTTGACCAGTGACAAATACAGGCAGACCAATATTACTTGTTTGGTATGTGACATACAGCCACTAATTAATTCATATTAGGCGTAGGCACTAGGTAGCATAATTGATCACAAGCTTGTTCATCTAACAGTTTTTGAACTCTAAAACAAATTTTCCCAGGGACGTTTCCAGTCGTTCCTAGGTTTTCACTGTGATGTAAAGAAGAGTTGAAGGGCTTACTCACCAGGGAGAGCCGTAGATCCTGAAACCCCGAACGGTGACGTCTGAGTCCTGCAGGTAAATGCAGTTGGTGAGGAGGGACTGGACATTCTCATAATTTTCTGGTTTTAGCTTGGAGGCTGAAGGGAAGTAGTAAAAGTCCTGCTTGATCAGATCTGCCATGAACTCCTGGTCAAAGGTCAACTCATGGTTTCCTGCAATTACTATTTTGATGTCATATGGCAGGGTTCCTGGAAAGAAAAGCAAGAAAGTGGGAAAAATCAATGAGTGATGTTACCACCATACTATACCATACCACTTTATTTATAAAGCACTTAAAACAGCAACAAGGCCAATCAAAGTGCTGTACAGGCAAAACAACAGGTAACACACAAAGCAATATACAAAATGAGGTAAATCAGAATATAGACATAAAAACGATGCAGATAATGACGACAAACCAGTGTGGAGCATACAGGATCAAAACACAGATCATCTGGTAATGAAAGCCACCGAATAGTAGTGGTTTTTTAAACTGGACTTGAAAACCGAGAGGGAGGGGGCCTGTCTGATAAGCAGAGGTAACTCGTTCCAAAGTCTAGGTCCTGCTACAGAGAAGGCCCTGTCACCTCTGTGCTTAAGATGAGATCCTGGAACTGTGAGGAGCAACTGGTCCGCTGACCTCAGAGAACGCGGTGGGACATACGGTTGTAGCAGATCAGAAAGATGTGGGGGGCGACACTGTTCAGTGATTTGTAGACATACATGAGTATTTTGAACTGGATTCGAAAGTGAACTGGTAACCAGTGCAGTGAGGCCAAAACTGGTGTAATGTGCTCTCTTTTGCCTGTACTGGTTAAAAATCGGGCTGCTGCATTCTGGACCAGTTGTAGTTGTGCAATGGAGGTCTGACTGATACCAAACAGGAGCGAATTGCAGTAATCAAGCCTAGATGTAATGAATGCATGTATTACTGTCTCCAGGTTATTTTGGACAATATGGGCTTCAGTTTAGACAGCCGCCTCAGTTGGAAGAAACATGATTTAACAATCATGTTTACATGATTGTTAAGCTTCAGGGAAGGGTCCATTATCACTCCCAGATTAGTGACTCTTTGTTTTTCTGACAGGGTTAGAGTGGAAAGGTCGATGCAGTGGTTTGTGATTGTGTCGTTGGGAGGGAACAACATGACTTCTGACTTCTTTTCATTGAAACTTAAGAAGTTTAAAGCCATCCAGTCCCTGATGTCAGCCAGACAGTCGAGCAGAGGTTGAATAGAGCATGTACCATTGTGTCTTAGGGGGAAGTAAATTTGACAATCATCGGCATAGAAGTGGAAGGGCATGTTGTGTTTCTGAAAAATAGCACCAAGCGGCAGCAGGTATAAAGAGAATAGGAGGGGACCCAGGATGGACCCCTGTGGAACCCCCAATTTAAGCTCTGCCACTGCGGAACTAAAATCCTTGATGGAGACACAAAAGGATCTGTCAGCGAGGTAAGATCTGAACCAATTGAGGGCTGATCCTGTGACGCCCACCCACTGCTCCAACCTAGCAATGAGGATCTCATGGTCGATGGTGTCAAAGGCGGCTGTGAGATCCAACAGGACAAGCAACACAGAATCACCGGTATCTGTGAAGATGTCGTTAAAGACCTTCAATAGGGCAGTTTGAGTGCTGTAGAGAGGTTTAAAGCCAGATTGGAATAGCTCTAATATGGTGTGACCTTCCAGGAAGCACTTCAACTGGGACTCAACTATTTTCTCCAGTACTTTAGAAACAAATGGGAGTTTGGAGACAGGCCGGTAGTTGGATACGACTGAGGGGTCAAGGTTTTTTTTTTTTTTCAGGAGAGGCTGGACAGCAGCATGTTTAAAGGATTTTGGCACCACGCCAGTGGATAAACTACTGTTTATTATATCAAGAATGGACGGACCTAGAGTTGGAAAAACTGCCTTTAGTAGTTGAGGGGGGACCACATCAAAGGGGGAACCAGAAGGTTTCAAGCTGCACATGACCTGCTCTAGAGAAGATAGAGTGATGGGTTAAAAATGGTCAAATGGAGCTACAGATTGAGGTGGGATGGATGGGTCATGAGTTGGAGGGGAAATGAGAGCGTTGGTAAGGAAGCAGCAGGTGGTTAAACTATAAGAAAAAGCAGGACACTGATGACCCCCGTCACTGAGGGATTTGAATAGTAAATGTTTGTAATTTTTGTGATGAGTGTTTTTTTGGACTGGAATTGAACAGGGTAACCCTTGATCTTTTTGGTGCAAGATTTTCAAGTTGGTAGGAGTTACATTGTGGAGAAAAAGAGAGTGAGAGCTCCTGATAAGTGGAGGGAGCAGTTTATCCATGACCAGAAACAATGGTGGAACCAGTGAGTGTGGCCAATGGTAACATTGACTACCAATCTTCAGCCACTCCACTCGTTTGAGAAAACTTTAATTTTAACCAATACAAAATCTCTAAAGCATCGTTTCATCAAATGATAGAGGTGGTCAGTTTACACCACCCCCACACACATTCAGTACATACATACATAAATGGTGGCAGCCATCTTGTGTTTTGCCTTGGCAACCTAATTTTCAAAAGGAACCCTGCTTGCCCCTAGATGTACCCACACACCAAAATGGAAGTCAGTACCACAGAGGGATAGACAGAGGATATTTCTAACTCCCATTTCCACTTTGCAAAACAAACAAAAATTATGTTGGCAAGATCTCCAGGATATGCACTAACTATATATTCACTAGCCTATATAAATAAAGGTTGAATGAATGCAAGCTGAAGTAGGAAAGACCAACTGGTGGTAGCTGCCACTGCTAACACGAGACCATAAAGCAAGCTGTGGCAAAGCCTTTACCCAACTCAAATAAAGGTGAAGTGGATTACAAAGTTAATTGCAACTTCTATTATGAAGGATTTTCATCTGCATTATGTTTCTAAAAGCCAGAGCTTGAATGTCACACCCTTTTTAGAGCTACAAAAAAACATAGTCATCTGATGTCAAAGAAACGCTGACAGCCATCGCCACACTACTATGGGAACAAAATCCTTGTGGCAGAGACACTGAAAAGCTGGTAAGATACTTTAACCTGTGATGCATGGACATCCATTGCCACAGACTCAGATATGTAATGGTGAGGTGTGCAAAGATTCCTTGCATTAGTAGGCATAAGTACGGTGGCGCTAAGGTGTAAATGAACAACATTTGTAAAAACAGAAATTATAAATTTTTTGAATTATTCAGTTTTTATCAAATGTAATTCCATCCATTATCTTTTGCCTGCTTCTTCCTTTTTGGGTCACGGGGGTCGCTGGTGCCCATGTCCAGCAATCACTGTGGTGGGGGACACCTGGACAGGTCTCCAGTCCATCACAGGGACACATAGAGACAAATGAGACAAACAACCATTCACTCTCTCTCTCTCTCACCTTAAGACAATTTAGAGTTACCAATCAGCCTAACATGCATGTTTTTAGTCTGTGGGTGGAAACTGGAATACCTGGAGAAAACCCCTGCATGTACGGAGAGAACATGCAAACTCCACCCAGAGGGGCCCCCAGACCGGGATTTGAACCAGGGTAACCTGCTCACTGAGAGGCAGCAACTCTATCAGTTGCGCCACCGTGCTGCCCCAAACGTGATTCTATTTTTTCAAATGAAGTTCCGTTTCTTAAATTTTTTTAATGTGATTCTTCCGCTTCGGCTCAATGTAATTCAGTTTTTTTCAAATGCTGTTGTGTTTTTTCAAATGTAATTCTGTTTTTTCAAATGCTGTTCATTTACACCTCAGGGCCACCGTACATACAGTATATGGTATTATCAACATGAGAACAGGTTACTAACATACATAAAGTTGAAGGAAACATGTTTGTTCATTCTGTCCATGTCCGCCCTGTATGAGATGTAAACTGCTTTTCAACATTTAGCTGTCTGCTAAGGTCCAGTAACCCCCTCAAAAATACAACCGACTTAATAGAAAAATAAAAAAAAACTTGGGTCAAACAACGAACGAGCAGTAGAACAAAAACAAAATCCAGTTTTGTGCAAATACTGTGAGGAGACTTACTGCTGCCAATGTTTGGAATTGTTAATCATCAGCTGACAAGGACACAAAAATTGTATCAAATTCCTGGAGAGAACTTTTTCCTTCTTGTCTTTTGGACAATCAAATCAGAGCATGATCATCATCTATGGCCCCAAGCTGAATGCTGACGAGCTTACATGGTTGCGAACAAGCACGACCAAATGTATCTTGATTCATGCTCAATAATCCAGGTAGAAAAATCCAACAAAGTTCAGTCAGGTCCTCTGGACGGTTTATTTTTGTTGAAATATTTTGTCTTTCATCCAAATGACTCCATCTGTTTGAGGAGCCACAGCAAACTCAGTCTTATAAATAGCACCTTCACATAGTGGGTCAACCATTTTGATGGTGCTCAGGTGGTTTCTGTAGTCTGCCTTCTCCCCTGCCGAATGAGCATGAATTAGGATATTTTGAACCACTTTGGCTATGACTGCCTCAAACGAGTCGACGGGGAGAAACCATCTGAGCATCAACAAACTGGTTGACCCACTTTGTGAAGGTGCTATTTATAAGACTGAGTTTGTTGTGGCTCCTCAGACTGACAAAGTCTTTTGGACAAAATATGAAACATTTCAACAAAAGAAACCACCCAGAGGACCTGACTGAACTCTGTTACATGACCAAATGTATTTCCAGATTTAGGAAAGAATAAGTGGTAGTGGATAAAAGGGGACGATGCAGGAGAGAGAAAAGGGAGAACCTCTTTCAGTTGTCTTTAACAAAGCTTTCTACTTGTTTCTTTGCTAGCTCTAATAATCAGTCAAGGTTTCTACTGCACTGCTTAGCTTTTCATGCAAGAACAGCCAAATGTATCCATTATTTGTTTTCGGTAGAAGAAGGGGAGAAAAAGAAAAACAGGTAATCACTTTTTAAATTTATAAGAAGAATATTAAAAATGTAGCACTTATGGCAGTCACTGCTGCATCTTTTTCCCGTTCCCTTTCATCATCCCCCTCTAATCAAATCCTCACTCCTTCATCCTTTCCTCCATTTCAATGGCTTTAATTGGCTATTCAGAGCTTGGATCCGTGGGGTGCAGCATCGATCCCAGCTCATCAAACCCAGTCGAGTCTGGGCTTTCACCATTCTACATGACATTTTCAAAGCTCAGCTCAGGAAACAGAAAGTCAACATTGACAAACATGTGGGGGTCTGCAG